CCTGGTCGGCTAACGTCGAGAAAGTCAAGCCTTCACATCATGCAAAGTCGTGGTGGAATGCTGAATGTAACAAAAGGGCCAAGGAGCTACGCAATATACGTGCTTTGGTCAAGTCTATTAAAAAAGACATCCGGAGGCGAAACAAGCTGATCCGGGCGAGACACATCATGATTCATCGTCTTGGAATATCTGAGAATGATGATGAGATACTAAAAAGTATCGAGAATAAGAACGATTTGGCTTCCATCCTCCTTGTAGAGGAAGCCCAGAAAGTAAAGAATGCGTCCAACCGCCTCCGAGCGGCGGCGAAACGAGCTAAACGTGATTTCTTCGAAGGGGTGTTAAAACACACACACCCTTCAAGAATATGGAACAATGTTGAATGGACGAAGCCACGAAAACAAGTGGCTAACGTCGCCCTTGCGAATAGCCAAGGGGATATTGTTACCGACTCGAAAGGGGTCGGGGAAACATTCCAACAACAATTTACTCCGACCAATGGTCGACCTGTTGACATGACCATCGCTGATGAGATGGAGCAGCTCGAGGAAAGAGCCTTCCCACCCATGAGTCGCACTGAAATGCGAGATGCCCTCAAGGGCACTAGCAACTTTTCTGCACCGGGCCCAGACAACGTCTCGTGGTTCTGACTCAAACGAATACTTAAAGACGAATCATCCCCCGATTATCGCAGTGATGATGAGTCCGACAAGAAAGATTGCGAGCTTCCCATACTCGTATTTTATGATGCATGCGTTAAGCTAGGTATACAACCACAGGTGTTCAAGGTCTCGAAAACGGTTATCATAGCGAAGCCAAAGAGACCTGACTACACCAAGGCAAAGGCCTACCGACCCATCGTCCTCCTCAATTGCTTAGGCAAATTGATGGAAAAAATAATATCCCGACGAATGCAATTTGAAGCACAAAAGTATGGTGCAATGCACCCGTGTCAATTTGGTGGTACAATGCAACATAGTACTACGGATGCAGGAATACAACTTGTTCACAACGTGAAACAATTGTGGAAAAAAGGGATTGACTCATCGGCGGTCCTGCTCGACGTCGCCCAATTCTTCCCATCGGTCAATCACAATCTCCTGACAAGAATCTTGTCCAAACAAGGATTCGCAGGAAATCTGTGTAAATATTCCGTCAGCTACCTGTCAGACAGACAGACACAATTCATGTTTAATGGGGAAACCCTTGACCCTATGGACTTCTCCTTAGGAGTCGGCCAAGGATCGAGCCTTTCTCCTATCCTTACGGGCCTGTACCTAGCCCCGGCCATGCACAAAATCGCCCCTTTGAAAAAGGCGATTACCCTTACTTTAGGGGACCACCAAGTCACGGTCCGCACACAGTGGACTGACAAAAACATACAAGCCAACGGACATGCCACTGTGCAGTTCTTCGTCGACGATGGTCTCATTCACGTCGGAGGCAAGTTGGGCAAAGGGTCAGAAGACCCAGACCATGAGCAGCTGCTGTACAATAACGTCCTGATCCAGGACATATATTCTAAACTGATACACACCCTACATAGATTAGGGTTGTCAGCGGAAACCGATAAACTTGAATTAATGCACTTCATCCGCCGGCGGAAAGCCAAAGGGTGGACGTGGAGTGATGAGCAACCACTTGGTCCCAAATTACGAATTTACGACGAAAATTTGTCCTTTGTCATTACCCCCAAACCTGTAATGAGGTATTTAGGCTTCTGGCTTGACCCGAAGCTTACGTTCAGGGACCATATTAAGGTCTACACGAACAAGGCTTGCAGCACTGTTGCCGCAATCCACATGTTGGGCAACTCGTCCAGAGGACTTAAGCCTAGAGATAAACGGCGGATTTACATATCCAATGTAGTACCCCTGCTCTCATACGGAGCACAACTATGGTGGAACCCCTCCTGGAAGGGTATACACTGGATCGAGAAAGAACTGTCCAAGGCCCAGAGCCGGGCAGCCCGTTGAATCATGGGGGCGTTTAAAACGACCCCGTGGGCTTTCTTGAAATGTCTGCAGGACTAATCCCTGTCCGACAGAACATTAACAAACTCATGAAACGTGCGGCATTGCGCACACACATGTTACACGAAAATCATCCTATAAGGGCCCACATGCCAAATTTGATGGAAAGTGGGACACTTAATATTAAGGCACCGCTCCCATACCGCGGAACAAAAACTAGAGATGCCGAAACCCCCATAGTAACGGCATACAAAGTTACGGAGGGCTTCACGGAGGAATTTAACTCCATTAGCACCGAAGCACAACCGGGAAACCGCATATTAGACTTATATGCAGACCGCATCACCATGAGCCTTGAGGGCCCACTGAAGGCCCAGAAGGAAGAACTCCATGACTGGATAAGGACGTTCCTTAATCCAATCATAAAATTAGCCTCTTCCGATTACGGAAGCCGGGCAGTGTTCACTGACGGCTCACAATGTAAAACACATGAGGAAAATGAACCTGAAAAGTTCATTACTGGTGCTGCATGCTCAGTCACGTACACTCTAGAAAGGGGCGAACGAAAAACCATAGAAAAGAAAGTAGGGTGTGGCCAAGTCACACCATTCGATGCAGAAATGCAGGCCCTGTGGATGGGCATTAACACGGCGTGCAATGCGCCGGGAAAACACAAATTGTTATACCTATTTGCGGACAATAAAGGAGCGCTGCAGCGCATCTTTAACCCGCAGATTGGCCCATCACAAAAATGCTCCTTGCTAGCTAGCGAACGTATACGACGCTGGTTGGAAGCAGACCCGGAACGAACCGTACATATGTCATGGTGCCCAAGCCATGTTAATGTGCCCTTGAACGAACGAGTCGATACCCTAGCTAAAGAGGGGACTGAACTCACGCAACCCGCGATTAAATCTTATGCCTACATCAAGCAAAAGATTACTGAGAATGAAGTTCGCGTATGGCGGCAGAAAATCAAAGAGTCCCCTAAATATAGAGGACACCAATTGATAGCTGGAGATCATCACGATCATCTACGACAAATCAAACACACGTCCTCGAACTGGTTCATAGCCCACAGTGGGGGAAAGAACTGAGAGATGGCCAGACTCACGAGGTTAATGTCTGGACACGCACCGATTGGAGCGTTCCGACAACGATTTAACCTAGAAGGACCCACCACATGCTGGTATTGCCACCATGAACTGGGTCAAACAACGACAGAAACAAGGGACCACATGATATACATGTGCCCAGGTTGGAGTCGTCTATACGACTTTAAAACAATGCACATAGCGGGTCACCCGTTGTATGACAAGACTAAGATAGGACACCGTCTTAAAACTGATACCGAAGTACGCAAAATGCATCGGGCGTACTGGGAGATGCAAAATGACTTGACTAAAGTCGACGAATTGACTGAGTACAGCCAAGACCTTAACTACAGAAAGAAAATACTAGGCATTAAGTGGGAAGATATCTACCACTTCGTGCGAGCCAACCCCATGGCAGGTACCTTCGAATGGTCTGACCTTGTTGATAAAGCATTTGATGATGCCAACAAAGGTTGTGACTATACCACGTCAGTCCACATATGGAAAGCTCTCATGCACTCGAAGAGATGCAAGGAGAAAAGAAATGATTACACTAAAGATTTGGAACAGCGCTGTAGAGCCACATACTCCAGCGCGGTTCGACATCACAACCGTCTCCTTAAACCAGAGGACATACCAATGGATCCGGGAAAGTGGCAACAATCGTACCCCAACCCGGACCAAGCCGAACGAAAATTCACACAGTGGTATGCAAAGTACGCGGTATCTCAATACCGAATACTTTTCAACCACAATGAGAGCCTCCCAGTGGTTGAGGAAGAGGCATTGGCGCGAGAGTTTGGATACAGGGGCACGTACAAACCTGTAGGACAAGCTTTCGAAGCGTTTTCCGACGCTGAAGATCCGCCCGCAGACGAGGATGAATGGGGCAATCAGGTTGACGAAGAGCACAGATAAGTTGGGCAAATCGTCACAGGGCGGCTGGAGCATAACCGTCCGACAACCGGTGACCATACTTAATGGGGGTCACCATGATGATAATTTGTGTTTCGGTTATGTAGGGCGTGGGTGAGGGGAACCATTAGAGGTAGGTCTAATGTTTGGTGAGGTAGAGTCCATCGACCGGCTCGGTGCTCGTGCGAGGCCAGGGCCGTCTGGCGCGGTCCTGCGAATTCCTCTGCGCCCCCAGACCTTAGGTCAACCAGGTGAACCGGCACGGACCCTGTTGTGGCTGTAGCACAGGCCCTCATGTAGCAGTA